CAGTAACATTTTTCTTCCTTTTTAGCTACACTAGCCAGTATGTTTTCAATCCTTTATTTGTAAAATTGTTTGTTTTTTTACTTTCTTTGTTTATTTAGCCAGTGTGAGGCCATGTGGGGTGAGCAGAGTAAATCAACTAAAATGCTGCCTGGAATTACCAAATTCAAAAATCTTTAGGGACACAAAATATTTTGCTGAAAATAATCAATTAAACTGAAATGCGCATCACGAAAGTGACGTCATTGAACGAGACACACACACACACAAAAAGAACAGGGAAATGGCTGTAAGTTCAGCAAACTTCAAATCCTTCCTTTAAATCTTAAATGATTAAGGGCTTAAATATCCCTCTGTATATCAATATATACATCAGACGCAAACCAGAGATGCACATCTCTGATATTTAAACAGCTTAAGAACATTTGTAAGATTTGTAGACATTCCTAAAATATACCTCTGGGGCAGACTCACCAGATTCTCTAAGAATAGAATGAGCTACGAAGTCCGCCTGTCTGAGCGTGCTCAGAACACCTTTGGTCAGGAAAGTTGGTGTAATGTCTGTTGGTGGCTCCTTCATGTGGGACCCAAATATATACACAACTCTGGAAAATAGAATATGTTTCTGTGATCCATCAAACAGTCTGAAGTAACCTTTTTAACATTCAGAAGACACATGAAGACTGAAGCTGTCAGGAAGGACATCTCCATTACCGGTTGATGGTGTGGCACATGCGAGGGATGAGTCGGGCCAGAAACATGAGCGACTCCCAGTGTGGAGATTCTTTACTCGTGACGCCACATACGTAGCTGTAGGATCGGCAGTCCCCCTAAAATAGAGACAGAAGTGGTGATTTAATCATAAAATCTGTTTTTACTTTCAGCTCAGGCTAGGGAAGCTGTGTTTCTCAATCCTGTCTAGCCCACAGTTTGAGGTTTGTGTCCATTTTAGACCTCTGGTGTTAAACACACAGTAAAAGGACACGCCTACTACAAAACACACAGTCATTGTTGATGTCTTTGTAGGGAAAGAATTTAAGGCTGCCCTTTTTAAGAACAGAGTCAGTAAAAACTTTTGGAAAATGTGTTACTTTTAACTCGTTAAACACAACCAAGCAGGCAGAAAGATACCTTGTATGGGCGTGTCGGTTAAAACTACAGACATAGATACCGAATTATAATTAGAGGCCGACCGATGTGGTATGTTTTTTTAGGGTCGATGCCGATTTTTAAAGAATTTTGTTGCCGATGGCCGATATAGAAAACATTGAATATACCGGCCCCATATATCTCCCCACACCATCAATGAGGAAAATTCATGCTTTTAAATATGGCTGCCGACAGTTAACAGAGAAGATTTTGATATTCGGGAGCAGCTTTACCTGGACACCAACAGTTTTGATGGGCAGCAAGAAGGCATTGAGTGAATGAAGGCTTGTGATCTGCATGAGCTTCTCCTCTTCCTCATCTGATATGCACAACTTGACTCTCTGGAGCAAGGCATGAGGCTGACGAGGGAAGAGATGCAGAAACATCTGATTAACAGCTCATCTAAAGAAACAATAGAGGAAAGCTGCCGCACCGCTGGCATAACAGACTCCAACTCACTGACCTTTTTGACACTTGCAGAAAAGTCTGTGACAATTTTGAGGATGTTGTTTGTTTCAGCAAAATCTTTACAGACGTAAGGCTCCTCGGCACAAATCACTCTGATGGACAAACCAGGACCTACAGGACAAAAGAAGGATCGGTCAGTTTTTACAGAAACAGGTGACTCTTTAAAAAGTCCTGTTAATGATCAAATTTACCATAAAAATTACAGTGTGTGTGTGTGTGTGTGTGTGTGTGTGTGCGTGCGTGCGTGCGTGCGTGTGTGTGTGTGTACTTGCCAGGGAAAGGATGTCGAGAGACGATCTCCTCTGGCAGGCCCAGCTCTCTCCCCAGCGCTCTCACCTCATCTTTATGGAAATCTTTCAGGGGTTCGATTACTTTTCCCTTGAGAGTAACACCAGAGTGACTTTAGTGTCATTACCCTGCTGGGGGGTCTAATTGCACTCTAAAGTCTTTAAATTAATTATAGTAATTGTCTCTGAAACGTACAATCCTGTAAAAACTTAACAGCTGGTGCCAAAACCGCAGTTTGTAGGCGGTAAACAAGGAAGGGTTTGAACGACAGTTTTTGTACGTTAATGCGACACATCTGCTTTTAAAAGTGAGACGTGCAGCAGAACAGCATTTGTGTGAGCCCGTTACCTCATCTCTGAGTTTACGGATGAGCTCGGTGTCATTGTGGTGTGTTTTGATGACCTCTGCCTTGCCGCTTGCAATGTGAGAGGCACTCTCAATTAGATCAGGCCTCAAGGTACCCTGAGCCAGGAAAACCTCTTCTGGGTTCAGATTCATTTCTCCGAGTACTTCGTTTGCCACCTGTGAAAAGATACAAATCACCAACTCGAGATGAAAATAGAGCCGAGTAGAAAAACCAAGCATCAATAAAAATAAAGAAACAAACAGAAACCAACTTTAACAAACGTGTCTCCGATAATTTTGCGTTTCTCCTCAGGGTTGGTGGTCATGTTCAGGGTCTTGCTGATGCGTTTCCGCGGCGTCCTGTCCTCCTCAGAGATGGGAAGAGTTGTTGTCCCATTATAAAACGTGTGCGCTGCATTCACAACTGGAGAAGAAAAAAACACTTTGTAAAGCAAAGATTGATGAGGAAGTTCATCAGTAAAATGGGCTCTGGTCCCCACCTTTGAGTTTAATGCCGAGTTTGGTGAGGGCTTCCTCCACGCTCTGACTCTCTCTCTTCCTCATGAAGCCGTTGTCAATGTGGACGGCGATCACCTGGTCCTGATTCAGAGCTTTGTTGAGAAGGGCCGTGCAGACTGTCGAATCCACGCCACCACTCAGCAGCACCTGCAGATACAATCACACATACGCTGACCAAGACTGAAACTAAACCAGCTGTGCAAATCATCTGCATCGACTTAACCTAATTCCTAATCGTCAAAACAATAATTATAATATTAAATAAAGCTGGCCACAATAAGCATGAACTTAAACAGACTCTCTCCTGCGTGTCTCTTTTCACCGCTGCAGCTGAAAAAGGATCTGGATACTGATGAATTATTTGTTAACATTAAAACAGATCCACTCACCAGAACTTTAGACTTGCCCACTTTTTCTCTGATCTCACTGATGCAGACCTGCTCCCGGTTCTGAACCGTGAAGTTACTTGTGCATCCCGCTATTTCAAACAGGAAGTTGCGCAGCATCTCCATCCCTCGCTCCGTTAAGTCAACCTCTGGATGAAACTGGGTGCCATACAGCTTCTTTTGCTCATTAGCGATCCCTAGAGGGTGAAACAGAGAACTTCAACAAAGCGAATCCCGTGTGAACACCACACGTGCTAAAACAGTACTGGCTTTATAATGGTGTGGAGGTAAAACAGACCATCCAGTTTTAGACCACATTAACCAGTCACAAAGCTCATCTTTTCAACTCCTCACCAGCAACGATGTTTGCTGACTGGGCCACGACTTTAAAGCCATCAGCCACTTTATCCACACTGTCTCCGTGGGTCAGCAGCACCAGCTCCTCCTTCTGAAGGCCTCTGATAAGAAACACAGACAGACAGCCGACTGAGGAAGATAGGTGGTGTTTGTTAAATAGCTCCAGAGATGGTTCATGTTTGCAGCAGACAGTGAATTTCACAACCTTACATTTCTATAATAACATGGACAGTGTGTGAGAGCTGGAATGTTTATTAGGTCTGCAGCTCATGCACTAGTCCTTATCTACTGAAGACACCAAACAGAATGAGAGAACACAAACAGAAGCCCTTTCTTTGGGGTTGCTCATTTAAGTTGGACTGCAGGGGGATTAAATAGACTTTAAATTATTATTATTATCCCACGGGTGGATTTTCTTCTTGATTTATAGCTACAAAACAAGGTTTCCTCCTGCCTGAGCTACTCTAACTTTGAAGCTATGTTAAAAAACCCGGAAAGCATGTTAAAGCTTGTTTAAATAAAATACAAGAGGATGACGTCACCAGACCCCACCTGAAATACACAGAAGAGTGTGGAGAAAAACACAATACCTGAAAAGGGAGCAGGTGTTGTCCAACGCAACGCTGAAAACTCCATCCTCCCTCACACTCTTTTTGTGTACTGTTCCCCCAAAAACCTTATTCATCATCTGTAACAAAAACACAGACTCATAGAGTAAAAAGGTGATGAAGCGAGTAGAATAAACCACGTTTATGCTAAAGTGGAGAAGAATTATAACTAATTGTTCCTCCTTACTAAATATACACACCTGCATTCCATAGCAAATCCCAAGGACCGGTTTTCCTATGGTGAAGATAGCTGGGTCGAACCAGGGAGCATCTTCTGCATACACAGAAGCTGGACCTCCTGAAATAATGATTGCTCTAAGAAGCAGAAAAAGAATCCATCAGTGCATTGTGGCATTATACAAGCAGCAAGAAGGTTGCAAGTTTCAATCCCAGCTGCAGCCTTTCCACATAGAGTTGGCAGGTTCTCTCCATGCATGTGTGTTTTTCCCCCAGACTAAACACATGCGCGTTAGATTTATCCATGTCTGCATAAACAATTAAGCAACAGCATTTTATTTTTTAGCACACATTTGACTCTCACCTGTAACCCTGTTCTCTGATGGCGAAGGCTGGGGTCTCTAGAGGGAGAATCTCAGAGCGTACACACAGCTCCCGCACTCGTCTGTCAATCACCTTCCCATACTGTGCTCCTGCATCCAGGATCGCCACAGCACCCTCACAAGATCCATTCTGCTCTGAGCTGCTGATTTCCAGCTACACACACAAAAACATTTGATTAGTTTTCACCTAGTTCACTAAGAAAATATAATCTTTATTTCTTAAATACATGCTTAAAACTAAAACAGATACTTTGTACACAAAAGCTACAACAATCTAAGTGTTTTTTTTTCCTTTTTTTTTAACTTTATGGTGCTGTTTCCAATTTAGAAAATGTGACTTAATAAGGCAGAGCATGCTTACAAACATGTGAGCAGCAACTAAAGACAGGCAGGCGCTTTTGTGCAACGTGCTGTAATCATTCAACAGAAATCACATGAAACCCCAACTCACTTGTTGGTTATTAGCATGAAGAAATCACTAAATGGGTCTTATGAACAAGAGGCACAGGGGCCAAAGAAAGCAAAGGGTCAATGGTCTCAGTCAAGAGATTTATTAAGAAATGCAGCTCACATGACATTAAAAGTGTACATGCTGACCAAAAAATAGATACAACCCACAACTCAATGATTCACAATTCCACAAAAAAAAACTCTCCGATTAGTTCTTATAATAAGAATCAACAAAGACGTGGTTGATTTTTTTCTCTTGTGACTAAATATGTGACACAAGACAACCACAAACCAAAAATGACCCACAAAGAATTTTCTGAGTTGTTGATCACAAAACATGATAAGTCATATAATGCTGACAATTTTTTAAAGTTTACCAGATCATGTGGTAGAATAGATCAGACCAAGTGAGCTGAAAAAGGCACCCCTAAGGTAAAATGCATCAGACACTCAGAAGTGACATACTGAGATGTATTTTCACAATTATTAAAAACACTATTAACCATAGTTATAAATAAAGCTTTGATTGATTGATTGATTGATTGTTGTTTTAACACAAGGGAGGGTAGGCTACAAGGGAATGCACCTCCTACTAGGAAAATAGGCAGCTAGGATTTGAAGGCTTTTACCATTTCCTGTTCAGTGGGGTCCATAACGAGCAGCTTAGCTTGCAATTAAAAACCCAAACAATATTATAAATTACTCGATTTCAAATATTTACTTAAATAAACAGAAATTTGTTTAAATTACATTAGTTCTTAAAATAAGAGTAAATACAATAGCCTTGAATTGAGTTTTCTATAACTGGGGATATTTCACACGAAGTGTTTTTTGGCACAACACCGGTAAACCCCCAAGTTGGCTACTAGCTTAGTGACGACATTAGCGAACTGACAGTTAACGTTAATTTTAGCCTAAAGAGTGTGACAGTGGCCTTATAAAGTACACTAGTTTGTCGCAAGCTGTTTTAATCGCCATGAAACATATTTATCCTAAGATTAAACTAAGCTTTATCTTAACGATCATCTCATTAGGTAGTAACTAGCGTTAGCAGCTAACTAGCTGGCTAGGATAACGGTGCTAAGCTAAAAACCCATGCGGTGTCTAAAACTGAAAGAGTGTTGGGGGACCCACAGTATGAAGAATGCCACCACCTGGAGTTGGAACAAAACAAATGAAACATTTCACGTTTCCCACATATTCCAGCAATAGTACCGACAGCTGACTGGAAGGCATAAGCAACTAGTTAATGTAGCACTGCAACAGGCATGCAGCGTATTCACTCCACGGTGCTGTGGGTAGTATTACATTCTCCCTAACTTTCCCCCGAGGTTCACAGAGGCCGTACTTTAAACTGCGGTCAGTAACAACACGGCTCAGGACACCGAGTCAATCGGGCCGCCCGGTACCGGAGCTGCGACGATCCTTTCCCCTCCACTGACCTTGCTTTCTCCGTTGCACAGAGCCATGGAGAACTGCCCGTGTTTAATGGAAAAGCTGTCCCCCTTTCGCCTCGCTGTCCCAGGTCTCAAACAGAGAGGACTGGCTCCTGGATCAGCACACCGACTACTGTTGGAACAGCAGACTGTGTTGTGAGACCGCAGACGCCGCTGTGTCTCTGAGTTGAACCGTGGAAGCAGACTGTCTCAGTGTTCCAGGGGTGGAGCGCAAATACAAACCTACAGAGGTGAAAAGCGGTCCTTGGATGGGTGGGCTTCCTTCTTCATGTAGTTAGTTGGGGGTTTAATCGTTCATTATTTCTATTCAAATAACGGCTGCTGTTGAGAAACGTTGCTGATATTATCAACCAAGGACAAAAATAAAATATCACAAATGTACAAAAAAACTTTTCCAATCCAACATACCGGTAAGTAGCTTATTAAATAATTAAAATAAATAATTAAGTTAACACAAAGTAGGCAGAAAAAGAAATTAATGTTGGAAATGTAAATTTGTAAACAAAAATTAAAGATGCCACTTAATTTGGTAGTTCCAAGAGTAAAGAAGTTGCTGTGTTGCGACGTCTTTAAAACGTCATCCAGCTTCTCTTTAATTCTGAACTTGTTTTATTTTATTCCCAACTTGAAATAAAACAACTGAACATCCTTAAAGGACTGGTTCCAGTCCCATTAAAATATGAGACTGCTTCAAAATATAAAATCCAATATTGCTGAAATTACAAGAGATAAAACAATACATTATTCAATTTATTAGAAATATTACTTTGGTCAAGAATACAGGGATACACATGGGATAATTTTGATTTTGACAAACATGAAGTACTTTGTACTATCTTACATAATACTGGAACAAGTACAAGGTGATAAGTATGCATAATTCTGGAATTTTATACTAATTATTAAGAGTTTTACATTATATTGACATCAATATCGGTATTGGTCGATGTTAGTATTTTTTTAACATGTTGGTATCGGTCCAATAAGTAAAACAACCGATATTAACAACCAATATTTTTTCCATCTTATTTCCGTTTGTGCATCTTTTTCAGATGGCGAGGGGAGTGATGATGTGTAATTGTTTTGTCATTCAGAAGCCAAAATATGTGTGTGTGTGTGTGTGTGTGTGTGTGTGTGTGTGTGTGTGTGTGTGTGTGTGTGTGTGTACTCGTCAAATCAGTGATTTGTTGGAATTCAGGCAAAAAATATTTATATAAATGAAAGCTTAAGGCTGTTTTTTTTAGTTTTGGTGGAATAATAAATCCATTCCTCTTGGCCTTTAGTGTTAGTTTCTCTGAGACTGACACATATAATCTCTAACGTAGCAGGAACTTCACAGAGATCCTTTTATCGCACTCTGTTACACACTCCCATGTGCTGTCACATGCATGCTGTTGGGATAAGTAGCTTCATGTGAGCTCACAGCAACCACACAGCAAAGCACACTGTCATTCATTACCTCTAAATTAAATGGATGCATTATGACCCAAACCAAAAGATCACACAGATATTAAAAAAAGTGAATTATTCTTCTCTGTAGTTTCCATTAAACCTTAAGAGTCAGCTATATATAATGTGTCTTTGCATTAAAAATTTTCAAATTAGACATTTTTTGTAGAAGAGGAAGACATGCTAACTACTCAGGAAATAATTATTAAATGGTATACAGGACAATCATATTAGGCTAGTGTTTATAAAACTAATTGACAAACATTTTCTGTATTTCTATTAATTTAGTTTATGTATTTTCACATATAAAAACTCTAATTTGATTATGTTCATTAAATTTTACAGCATTTCACAAGAATGTAAACAGTTTCAACTTACTGGTGAAAAAAATATCAGTTTTTACATTTTTATAAATGGTGCCATACACGTGTGGTTTATTGGCCTTTATGGGAACAATAAATAAAATATCAATATTTAACTAAATAATCTTTTAGTCTTGCAGAATTGACCATTACACTTTTCTCTGTCAAAGGTTCTGATGACTTGTTTTGAGTGGATCTGTGAACGTTCACTTTTACATCCAAAAGAAAAAATATATATTAACAGTGTTAACTAGTAGTTGCTCCGTAATTATTTATTAATTAATTAATTAATTAATTAATTTATTTATTTATTTATTTATTTATTTATTTATTGAAGTGAAACTTTCTCAAAGCGGAACGGTGTGCAGTGGTATTGACACGTCAGCTTGCGACACCGGACTCATTTCCGTGCTGCACACTAGGAAATTCCTGGTAGTCCTGGCTGTAGATGTTCATGTCGCCTGTTTTTATATGAACGGTATTCCCTTTCTTATTTCTCCTTTTCGTGCTGAGGCTCTACCGACTTTAATCTGCATGAATCTGGTGAAACATCCGTTAGTTAGCGGAGTGTTTCAGCTGTGTGTGTCCTACTCTTAGTTTTGACATGCCGTTATCAGGTATGCATGCATTCACCTGCCTAGAGTTAACGTTTTAGACCAGCCCTCCTTAGAAAACAGCTTCTAACTCTTCCGCTTTTTTACATACTTATTTTTGACTGTACGTGTTTTATGTTCATACAGTATCTCCTGCTAACAGTTAGTTACATTTTACCTGCTCAAATAACTTTACATCGAGACTGAATATCAACAGCTCACTGCAAGAGTTTTTTTTCTGTATTTTAACTTTAAATGATAAGTAATAAGATGTTTTCTTTATTATAAGTCGTTTTGTTTGTTTTCTGCTAGAACAATACAGCTTTCAGTTTTAAAAGCTAACATCCAGACATGCTTGACATTAGGGGTAGACGATATATCGGGCCGATATTTACCGTTTTTTATACATCGGCATCGTCGATATTTGTCCCTAGTAAAAGCACACCCTTGGGCACCCCGTTGCAATATCAGAATTTCATTTAAATGTGTTTTTACATTCACTAATAACATTTGCATAATAGATACTCTAGATGAACTTTATTTAGGTTTCTGACAAAGTTAAGATGTCACAATTGATTAAAGTCAGAGTTCAAAAACGGATTTATCTTCAGAAATTTAGTCAATCAACTGATGTTATCAGTGATATTTTAGTATGAAATGAGGTAGAAAATGTCTAGATATTGACCATAAAAATCTTGCAGAACTTATCGGCTGTTGGCCGATAAGTTCTGCATATCGGCATCGGCAATTAAAAAAACAATATTGGTCGACCTCTACTTGACATGTCTGATACGTCTCCAGGTTTGTTCAGGGCTCAGTGGATTTGATGCCCTCAGCTCTATCATGGAGTTCCCAGATTTGACCACACGAACAAATGGGCGGCAGCGGAAGCCGGCAGGCGCCACCTTCCCACCTGGACACATGAGGGACACGGACAAGGGGGACACCAGCTCTTCTGAGCCAGAGATGGGAAACGAAGCAGATGGCCTCATCAGGAGTTGGGACTCTGAGGACAGGAGCCATCTCAGACTCCGTCCCGGGATCCGAGGTGAACTGGGGAATGTGTCGCTCCTTTTGTTCCTCTATGTGCTGCAGGGGATTCCTCTTGGACTGGCTGGCAGCATCCCTTTGATTTTACAGGGCAAGAACGTCAGCTACAAAGACCAGGCATTCTTCAGCTTCGTCTTTTGGCCTTTTAGTCTGAAGCTTTTCTGGGCACCGCTGGTTGATGCTCTATACTTCAGCAGGTTTGGTAGGAGGTGAGAAGTAAACCTAGATCTCGTGTTATTCATCCTGCTGTTTGTGTCATATGGATGGTTTAAACATCCTAACCAAATACTTAAAAAAGTGCGAGGAACTTCAAAGTGTTTCTCCTCCTGAGAACATGAGGTTTAACTAATGCTTATTGTGGGCTTATAGTCTTTGTTTTCCACAAATTCACACATGGCTATTTGGATCTGTTGGTTGTGCTATGAAGGCATGTTTTAATCTAGTAAACAGTATACAACTGATGTTTTGATGGCTTTTCTTCTAGATTTAATTACGTCGCTCTCTGCCATTTCTGCAGGAAGTCATGGCTGGTTCCAACTCAGTACCTCCTGGGCCTCTTCATGCTTTACCTCTCCCTAACGGTGGACTCACTGCTGCAGAGCGACAGAGGACCGGACGTGTTAACTCTCACTGCCGTCTTCTTCATGCTTGCCTTCCTGGCAGCCACACAGGTAATTAGTAATAAACACAAACGATCAAGCACATATTTGTGAAGACACTCGTGTCCCCTTAATCCTCCTCCTGCATGTGTAAGGATATAGCTGTGGATGGCTGGGCTCTGACCATGTTATCCAGGGAAAATGTGGGCTATGCCTCTACGTGCAACTCTGTAGGCCAGACAGCGGGCTACTTCCTGGGGAACGTGCTCTTCTTGGCTCTGGAATCAGCAGAATTTTGCAACAAATACCTCAGAACTGAGCCCAAATACACAGGCCTCATCACCCTGCCAGGTATTCATCCCCAAATACCTTTTTTGACTCCTTACTTGTGTCACTGCTATGTTTTATTTAGGTTTTTATGTCTTCTGCTGCAGACTTCTTATTTTTCTGGGGAGTGGTGTTCCTAGTTTCCACCACTCTGGTGGCCATCTTTAAAAGGGAAAACGGGCCCACCAGCGGGAGGAGGAATGCCCCAGAAGAGACGAAGGGTGTCATGGAAACCTACAAGTTGTTGTTCACTATTGTCAAGATGCCGACAGTCTTCACCTTCTGTGTCCTGCTGCTCACCGCTAAAGTACGCACTCACTCCTCTGCCACTGGCTGACAAATATTCGTCCTGAAGGTTTCATTTGTGTCATTTCATGTTTTAGATCGGTTTCTCCGCAGCAGATGCAGTTACAGGTCTGAAGCTGGTGGAGGCTGGGGTTCCCAAAGCACAACTGGCACTGCTGGCCGTGCCCATGGTTCCTCTGCAGATCCTTCTACCTGTGGTCATCAGCAAATACACAGCAGGTCCTCGACCTCTGGACGTCTTCTACAGAGCATTCCCATTTAGGTTGGAGCTCAAAGACAGATTTACTCACACCGATTTCATACTCAGCGATTCATAGTCTTGTTCTGTAGGTTGGTAATAGGCCTGGAGTATGCTCTGCTGGTGTGGTGGACCCCCAGTGTGAAACAGGATGGAGGATTCCCAGTGTACTACTACTCCATAGTGCTCCTCAGTTATGCATTACATCAGGTTTGTTCTTTCTCTGCTGTTTTCTTGCCTGTTTATCTCCTTGTTTCTGATTCTAGTTTAGACCAGACCATCGGTTTTCCATGAGAAGCGTTGATTATAACACACAAGCTGGATTCTAGACTACCATAAAAGAATGGAGATCATTTAAAAAAAATTTAAAGAGCACGTCACCTCCAAATCAATTTTTTTTCTGATAAACAATATAAATGCGTGTCTAATCGTGCTGCAGACACGTGTAGTCAGTAGTTTTGCACTTTAGTGCATTTTAGTTAAAATTCAAATTTTCTGCCTAAAACTGTCAGTGTTGTGCTGTTGTCAGGGAAAAACTCTGCACTGCAGTTTAATTTAAATCTGCCATCGCTATTGGCTGAGAGGTACCCTAGAATGTTAGCTGGTACAGTATGATGTCACAATGTCGTGTGTGTGTGTGTGTGTGTGTGTGTGTATTTGTTAGCGGCTCCGCCCTCTCGGTCTTCTAGGCAACAGCATTTGTTGCATTTTTCAAACAGGAAGTGGAGTAATACTGTGGTAGGGGGTCACTTGCTTGCAGAGCAAGTCACCCCCTGCCAGATCCTTACTCAACTCTGTTCATTGTGCTCCAGTGGCTACCGCTAGCAGCACGCATCAAATTCAAATTGCTAACACTAGCATACAAAGTCCGAGATGGTACGGCTCCCATCTACCTGAATCCTCTTGCAAAGGCTTACGTCTCGGCCCGGCCGCTCCGGTCATCACAGGATCGTCGGCTAGCAGTGCCTACACCACGCTCAGGACAATCCAGACTCTTCTCATGCATCGTTCCACAAATGTGGAATGACCTACCAAGCACTACCAGAACAGAAGAAGAAGAAGAAAATATAATTTCTATAGCGCCTCTCAAGATAAAAATCACGAGGCGCTTCACAAAAACAAAAAATAAAAAAAATGTAAAAATATAAAAAAGCATTTAGAAAATGTTTAAAAATATATTTAAAATGAGCAAAAATAAGCAATTGCGATTAAAAGAAAAAATGTTAAGAAAGAGAAAGTGAATAGGAAAGAGGGAAATCAGTGGATCCTGAGGAAGGTGGAATAGGTGGGGAGAGCAGAATAAAGAGAGAGTGGTGAAGAAGGTCATACAAAAGCCAGCTTGAACAAGTGAGTCTTCAGCTGCTTTTTAAAGGAGACCACTGAGTCCACTGATCTCAGGCTCAGGGGGAGAGAATTCCAGAGTCTGGGGGCCACAGCAGCAAATGACCTGTCACCTTTGGTATTTAGCCTGGTGCTGCACAACCAGTAGGCTTTGATCACTGGACCTCAGGGACCTGCTGGTGGTGTAGGGACTAAGAAGATCACCAATGTAAGATGGTGCTTGTCCATGTAAGGCCCTATAGACCAGAACCAGGATCTTGAAATGAACCCTGAAGTTGACTGGCAGCCAATGAAGCTGGAGGAGAAGCGGGGTGATGTGGGTGTGTTTGGAGGACTTGGTCAGAAGCCGAGCACAGGCATTCTGAACCACCTGTAGACGGTTCAGGGAGGTTCTGCTCAGACACGTGAAAAGAGAGTTACAGTAGTCTAAGTGTGAGGAGATGAAGGTGTGGAGAACTGTCTCAAGTTCAGAGCGGGACAGAATGGGACTCAGCTTAGCAATGTTCCTGAGATGGAAGAAGGAAGAGCAAACAAGAGAACTGACATGAGAATCCAGGGTGAGAGCTGGGTCAAAGGTCACACCGAGATTCCTGACGGAGGATTTGGTGTGGGAAGCAAGTTGACCAAGAGAGTCTCTGACTTTGGGAACCAGCTTGTCTGGGGCACAGATGAGGATCTCAGTCTTATCTTCATTCAGCTGTAGAAAGCTCCCAGCCATCCAGGTTTTGATAAGAGTCTAAGCAGGTGTGTAACAGCTGCATCTTAGACATCTCATGGTGCTTAAAGGAGATGTACAGTTGGATGTCATCTGCATAACAGGAGCTTCCTTTTCAATTTTCAAGAAACTCCTGAAGACCCTGCTCTTCAGAGAGCATCTTCTTAACTAGCACCCTGCCTGCACCCGTCCCCCTCTCTTCTGTCCACTCCTTGTTCCCTCCTCTCCATGACTGATGTCAAGTTGTTGTTGTTATTGTTGTTGTTAGCCTTAAGGGCAATATGCCGATTATCACTTGTAAGTCGCTTTGGACAAAAGCGTCTGCTAAATACATAAACATAAATAATATAATATAGGTAGAAACTGGATCTTTTTTGTGCTCCTTCTGGGTGTGTAAGTTAAGGGCATTCCTTAAGGGTGACGTCACATATGCGATGTACCGATGTCTGATTTGTAGTCTTGCTAACAGCAAACTTTTACAAGCTGATAAATCTCAAAGTACGTGACTGGTGTGGTCAAAACACACATCATTAATTTTCATTTAAATGTACGTACAACATATGTGCGATTCAGGGCGTATGGCAAAGCGGATTAGAAAATAGCACTTTTAGCCTTGTTGACTTGCCTCCATTTTTTCGTTTTTCCGGGATCCCATGAGCCGACCGGAAAGGGAGGAGACTTAGGTTCGCTATTGTCCCTTAGCCTTTTATAACAAGAGTCTGACATTTCAGCCTCATAATTTAGTTGTTTTATTTCACATTTTTAGCAGCAGACCACGGTCTCGTTTCACTTGTCAAATGGAATATTTGATTAATTGGAAGATTCAAATACAAAAATATCCAATAGCTGCAGTCCTATTTTATACATTTAACAGAACAGAAAAACAAACAAACAAGAAGACACAAAAACACAACCTGCACCAAACCAAGGTACGTCTGAGAATTTGTGAACTTGTTTTTTTTTAATTTGTGAACGTAAACCAAACTCACACGTATTTAGACAGATGAATAATAAAGTGAACTCATTCTGTGTGAACGGGTTTATGAACGGTGTTCTTTCAGAGTTTGAGAGCTCCAGATCTCCACGGAGCCAAAGCCTTAGCTAAAACATCCTGTTGACCGTAGTTTATAAAAACTAGAACTCGAAAATGCAACTACCATACAAAGCGATCAGCGTGGTGTCTACTTTTCTACGTCTATGCAGTGGCGGTTTTACCATTAGGCATAAGTTGGCGGCCGCCTGGGGCCTTCTTGTGTTGGGGGGGCGCCCTATCCCTGACCGCCGGCACCCCTCTAATGCCACAATATTCTTATTACCAACCTGTCGCAGCCGACAGGATTGGACATGTGCAATTCTCATTGGCATAATTCCTGAACCGTTCAAGATATCTGTAAAATTCCAAAAGTGCTGAAAAGATTAAAAATGGGGCTTTTCGTGCATATACAATACATTACGGTAGCCACCGGGATTCCCTGTCTGGAGCGCAACGATTCACAACACAGATTCAGAGACGTGCTGAGTTTGTCATCCAAAATGCTCCGTTTTATAACTTTTGAATGGCTGATCAGATTCAAAAAATTCCAACGGTTCCTAAAAGTACATAAAAGCAGCTTTCCAACGATCTATAGCATGAAGCAATCAGAGTTATGGAAATCCTGCTGTACAGCCTGATTGAAACGGAGCGCAGCGCTGCGGTGAAAGCAGATAACAGAACGGGGAAGCTAATTAGCATAAAAAGCCGGCATGAAATTATGGAAATGCCTCAGAGAAAATCAACACGATCTGTTAGGTGTCCCAGAAGGCTTTTATCTGAAGACAGTGACCACAAAGAAGGACAGATCTCCGGTGAACAAGGATATGAACGTTTGTGTAGTCTTTATTTTTTTATTTTAACAGCCCTCAACTATTTGCTAATTGTAGGATTCAGCTTCATTCCAGCATTATTTATCTTTTTACAATAAATAATTATTTTTGCTAAAACAAAAGTTTTTGGTATAGCAGTGCACGGTGTGCCAGAGAAGCACCCCATGGCGGTGTGAGGTGTGCAGGACTCTGCCTGCAGCTGGAGAGAAACTGCTTCAAGGTCTACCACATCAAATAAAACCATCTGAAAGTTTACAAAAATAAACGGCCTTAAAACTGCTAAAAAAGATACCAAGGTTCAAACGTTTTAAAGAATAGATGCATTACAGTTCAAAGGTTAAATTGTTCATTCCAAATTGTTTGCCCAGTAATTTTGAAGTTCCTGATCAGTAATAAATGTAAAAAATTCAAATCCGTTTTTTGCTTTTTTCACTTTTAAGCTGATTTTTAAAGGCTTTAATGGAAATAAATTCTAAATACAAACCATACACTGAAAGCTGAGGTTGTTCTGAAAAAAGGAGAAGAGTTACACACACTTTGCACTTTTATTACAATTTTACAGCCATAAGATTTAAAAAAATACCAGGCGGCCCTGTTATAATTATGGTCATAAGAGGATTATTAAGACGGCGACGCACAAACAGGAAGTGATTGGTAGTCATTCCACTCCAATCCAGTTGGTGGTGGTAATGCACCAAATTGTTGTTTGTCAAGTGCCATAAGACCACAAATAATAAGAGAAAGCAGAAAAAAAGAAGAGAGGCAGGGGCGTTCGTAACAAACTCAAAACGATAGTCAAAACATTAAGCATGAAATGGAGTTATCCTAGTGGCTCCAATAAGAGAACGAAGCAGCATGCTTCATAAAAGCTTTTATTTTCATCTCTGAAAGTGACGTCGTTTCTTGATGTAAACATCAAAAGGAAGCAGAAAGGACAGACAATGGAAAATGATTAAAGGGAGGAAAACATGGACCAAACTGGAAAATAGAAAAAAAAACAAAGGCAAAAGCACAGCACTGACAGGAAAAAGAAAGCAGAGCAAATATTGAAAGTGCTCAAAGGGAGGGAAATACAGGAAAAAAGAGGAGGACTAATAAAAAGCGAATATAACTCATGTCAGAAGAGGGGAGAGTTTTGCAAATCCAGTTAAAGATAAGATTGTCGAAAATTTAGTGTAAGGGGCCCCATGTCTGTGTTCGCCTTGGGCCCCCAAATTGCCAAATCCGCCACTGTGTCTATGCCGTTGAGGACGGACCTCTGTAATGATCAAATCTGCACTAATTTGAATAAAAGAACATTTAAATTGCATTAGCAAAAATTTCTGAAGTTATTTCGGAATCAACTTTATTGTTAAGTACGTGAGTGAGACTCTTGTTACCAGGAATTGGTTTTGGTGGTGGTTATTGTGATTTAATTATATGCACCACTGGTGTTTGTTAGTGTGTTTATGTAATTGTAAGAACTACTTTTGATTTTTAGAGATTATAACAATTTTGTTATGCTGGTGCTACAACCGTTTGTTCTGTGCTACAAAACCTACGACCTTCGTAGCACTAGTGCCGTGAACTAAAAATGTTAACGTGCAGCCCTGGAAATATTAATCTAATCCTAATAGCAGTTAATAATGAGCTACATGATGGGTAAATATTAATATGGGATGATAAAAGCACCAGTAACCATCACAGGGATAGATATTATAGAGCTCACCTGCAAAAGGTCTTCGACAGGTGAAAAGCAAGAATGAAGAACATTCTTATTATGTAGGCTGTAATCTCTGGGACAGTTTTCTGGAGCACAGTCGAGTTTCCAGACATGCAGAAACATCTGAAAAGTCATTAAATCCTTGTGGTTTATATAAAAACACCTTGTTGGTTAATTTAAAGGGAGACTTTGTAGTTTTGGCTTGCTTTTAGCATCCCCTAGTGTCCAGTTACTAAAACAAAACTTATCTCCTCACAGTGTGTTCATCTTTTTAACACCTTAATCTAACTGCTGAAATGTCTCCCCAGCTTTCATTACTTTCTACATAAGTGAGTCATCACTAAATCCAACAAATCAGCTGTGTTCTTGATCTAAAACAGGGATTCCCAAAGTGTGGTGCACGCACCCCTGGGGGTGCGCGAGCTGCCGCTAGGGGGTGCACGAGGTGAAAAGTGTAATGGCTGCGGAGCTCAGAGAAGTCTGTCAAAAGTCACCATTAGCGTAGCCAGAAACTCATCTGTGGGTGGGCCTAAGAAAATGTAAGTGGGCCCTATAAACGTAATTGAAAACAAGTATATTTTGCTTGTGTGTGTGTGTGTGTGTGTGTGTGTGTGTGTGTGTGTGTGTGTGTGTGTGTGTGTGTGTGTGTGTGTGTGTGTGTGTGTGTGTGTGTGTGTCCCCTCCGCACATGCCCTAGCTCAGGGGTCAGCAACCCGCAGCTCTGGAGCCGCATGCGGCTCTTCCATCCATCTGATGCGGCTCTCTGTGCTTGTAAAATAATGAATGGATATTTAAATAAAATGCTTTATATTTTACCGCATAAATTTTACATCTGTAAGCTAATTCTAAATGTAAAGATTGTCTGCGTAAACCTGAACAGGTCCAACCCGGTCTACTTTGTGACCGGGTTGACGCGTCACGCTTGTGCGTAATCATTTAGGCGCTTTATGAGCTGAAGACGATGTGAGATTCTGGGACTCTCCTCAGACGCCACATTGGAGACAGAAACAAGCACAATTCCGCCAAAGTTTAATCATCAGGGAACATTTTCTAAGTGACAAGTCTCTCTGAGAGACCGGGTTTGGAAAACTCTCGCTTCAGTGGAAGGAATCTTCCTGCATGCGCTCTGGTTCTGCAACGTGCTCCAAGCCCCTCTCCACATCTTCAGCTCTCTGTGCACTGTACGTACGCGCTGACAGTGAGCTGCGCTGAGCGGTGTCCAGCTCAGATGTTCAGATGGAAATCATTTCTTGAGTGATTTAGCTACATCTGCGATGTGCATAACGAATAAAGTGTCAGTTCGTCTGCATGCGTCGGGGTAATTCTTTCTATTCTTTCTCCGTCAAAATAAACGGTCAAATACGGGAACTATCCGGTCAACACAAGCCCTGCTTTTAACTGTTCTGTTTTCTTGTGAAAATTGTTACAAATTAAACTTGATTAACACCAGAGCCAGGCGCACTGCGCCGTTATCTCCGTCACTGTAAATTAGGGAAAAACAAATTTGATCGGATCCTTTTCTGACCTTCCCCACCTACAAAGTTTAATTACAACAATCAAACGTGACAGAGCCTGTATTTGTATTCTGAACAGTCTAAACATGTTTAAAAAAGAAACGTATGACAAAAGTGACACCTGCTCAGTAAAACCACCAACAGGGTGAAAAATATCTAAATATTGTAGGCAGAGACGGGCTACAACTTCTGGATCCACTTTATATAAATCGTTTTATTGATTATCTTCTTATGAAAGATAACTTTGACGTACACGAGCGACCGGTACTGGCTGCTGTCACCTGTTGTGAGCAGCGCTCTGCTGTCTGAGGGTAGGCCCCGCCCACAATGCCGCGGCTGCTGCGGTGTTTTCTTTACTGTGGGAAACGGGTAATAATGGCTCTTTGATGGAAACAGTTTGCCGACCCCTGGTTTAGCGTGACGTCTGATATATATATTTATAGCCATGCCCTGATGTGGGGCTGGGGGGTGTGTCAACATGGTCGGGACATAGAAGGGGGTGCGCGGCTAAATAAGTTTGGGAACCACTGATCTAAAACATGCAGCAAATGTGTCTCAACAAGGACTGGACCTGCACTCTGAAATTGCAAGTGTGATATTCTGGTCACATGGGGTTATGAGTCATTTTAGCACATACTGGCCCAAGAAAATAATTTAAATATTAAAAATCTCTATAGTTTGGCATTAAATGACACAAGTGTTTGTTGTGGGCTCGTTTTGGGAATATAATAGCTTTATAATGATTTAGTTTGCAAGCTTTACTAATGTCTTATCTTTGTGCAACAAGAACCCATAAGTATCCTTTTACGTTGTACATAAAAATGTGATTTTACTGTTTTTTTGTGTGCAAAAAAGTAGATTTTTATTACTATTTAATTTTAATTAGGTACAACAAAAACGGTTAAAGATGCAGGAAACATAAATCCATCAATGTAGCTTTTTGGTTTATCTGAAAAGTCTCTGTTAGTCCAGCTCATTCGTCCCCACTGTGGGACACATTTAGACAACAGCTACCTGGTGTCTAGTTAGGTACATCTTTGGAATGAGGAGGCAGCGTCCACCTGAACGTGAGCTTTAAGGACTGAATCCAAAGTGAAACAGAGATGTGGTAAACTTAGTTCTCAGAGTGTATGCTCCTGTGTTTTGCCTTCAGGTGGCGCTGTACAGCATGTATGTGGCCTGCATGGCCTTCCATGCCAGAGTGAGTGACCCCTTGATCGGTGGGACCTACATGACGCTGCTGAACACGGTCACTAACCTGGGAGGGAACTGGCCCTCCACTGTGGCTCTGTGGATGGTTGACCCCCTGACCTCTAAGGAATGTCAGGGGGCCGCCAGCCAGAGCTGTGGCTCCCCAGCAGAGGCCGGGGTAAGTGGGATTACAGCATGGGTTGTGTGTGTGTGTGCTCTCGTTTCGCTAAAGTTCAACCCTTTTCTCCCTTCCGTCCCCAGCTGTGCGTAAAGGAAGGAGGCGTTTGTGTCACGACCCTGGACGGCTACTACGTGGAGTCTGTTGTTTGCGTCGTGATCGGCCTGATGTGGTGGGTGTGGCTAGGGAAGAAAATGAGGCAGCTGCAGGAGCAGAGCCCAGCGGCGTGGAGATGTAGAGTGAACCAGTGACGTCACTCCGCCCTTACACCAGACACTGGATAGTGTGCTGCACCTTCACCTGCTTCCCAGCAGCGAAACGCTGGCATCGCTGCAACTCCTCCTGTCTCTCTGATCTGGGTCCTGCTGCTACACCCTCACACACCTCAGTCTGAAGGACACACACATGAAGAACCTCGGTCTTCTTCTCGGGAATTAAAAAGAAATCCCTGTATTCATTATTCGGACAGTGTGAGGCTGGTTTAGCTAAACATAACGGATGTCCACTGTAAATGTTGACTTTTATCTTTTGAAACGTTTTGCTGCCTGAATTTTTTAATCGAACCAAGGCTGGTTCAGGTAACGTTTCCTTTTTCTGTCCCACTTTCCTTCAAAATGTACTTTAGTACATAATGAGTACTTCTACACACACACAAGACGCCCTAATTCCAGAAACCTAAATTTAGATGTTAGGATGGGTTTTTTCTATGGGACCATAGATGAGTCTGCTCCAGGACTCATGTCCTAAAGTCTTTATTTACGCTTTTTCTTCTCAGAACTATGTTTCTCTGTTTTCCACTTACGCCACATGATTGTTGTTAGTAAATGTGTTAAACGTTCACTAAACTGCATCAGATGTAGATTAGCTGGACAACCAGCTGGAAAACCCCCAAACTTAAAGATGTTTATCGAGATGCCTCCTGACTTTAATTTGATGCTCTTAGTTTTTTCTTCTTTATGTTTGGTGCAAACAGCTTTTACTGCACTTGACTAAAAACCCAGTTTTTTCCCCATCTTGCCTCCTGGAAAGGCAGCTTTGGTTCCTGAAATATACAATTATAAACAATATTCACCTGATGATCAGCTGATCTGAACTGTGAATGTTCCATTGTAAAGCAACAATAGGAAAATAAAATATTTTCCTCTCCGTGAACTTTAGTCCCTAAAACTTAATTTTCTTATCAGAAACTGAACGATTGTTGATCACAGCTGATTGAGATCAATCAAAACCATAATTGGTGCATGTTTAAATTCAGATCTACTCTGGATGTTCATTCATCAACTTTCCTTCCTGGATTATTGTTTATGTTTATTCATTTAGCAGACGCTGTTATCCAAAGCGACTTACAATTTATAACCTATAGGGCATGTTGTGATCTGTGGGGGGAAACCGGAGTACCCGGAGGAAACCCACGCCTGCACGGGGAGAACATGCAACTCCACACAGAAAGGCTGCAGCAGAGTTTCGAACCTGCGACCTTCGTGCTGCGAGGCCACAGTGCTAACCACTGCGCCACCATGCATTGTAAATAAATTGTATAATCCAAATGTGACACAAAAATACCCCCCATAAGTGGAACCAGCATCATAATGCAGACCTCAGGCCTTTAATCACTGCTCAACTCTCATCCTAACTTTTATTTTTAAACATCTTTCTGCTGATTTAATTGGGGCCCTTTCTTATATCCTAGTCGCTGAGGAGGAGCTCAAACCCATGAAGTTGTGCTGATTAATGTTCCGCGTATAACTCAATATATCACTGTAGTAAAATCAATTAACCAAACTCCTTAATGGACATAATTAGCACTTTTTGACATAAGGCAGCTCTCACGAGTGGTTGGACAAACGGAGCTATCTGAATTATGTTGCCTTGCTGAAGAAAACCTGCGTAAACATGACTTCTTTTCCTGGCTATGAAACGTCAAAATTCTGATTATAACTAGCTTCTCTGGCAGAGCATCACTCTCTAAATCATCGCTGGTGCATAACCAGATGTGCCGAACATCTGTTTATATTAGATTATCATCTATAGATTAGCACCAGCATCCAGGATGAACTGGCAGCTGCACATTTAATCAGCTTCTAGAACATCTAGAGAACATGTATTCCACTTCCTGTTGCTTATGACTGATGAGTATATTGGACACATTGAGGTTGATGGTAAGAAACACTGACTTTAGTGTCCTTTTAAGTAATTCAGATCTGAATTATCAATGATGGATTCCTTGGCTAGCGTTTTCTGCCACATCTTAAATAAGTCTTTTTTTCTCCACGTCCAGCTGTGACTGTAAAAGTGCACAATCATTGTTTTTTCTGCTTGCTCACCAAACAGGTGAATTATTGTTCTGATTATTTAAGGCCGTGCATTGATCTCCATGTAAAAGCTTCATCCTAAGAGCCTTCTGAGGCCCCAATGGATTTTGTTACGTCTTAAGTGATGGGTGGTTTAATTACATTAGATCAGGGAGAATTGTGTTTGAAATTTGTCAAGTTTGTTTTCTTACATTTAACTTTTTTTTAAATTTGCAGATTTTTTGTTTACAAACACTTAATTCCCATGAAACTCCAGGAAAACGGTGTGACTGTAATGCAACATGGATAATTTGTAATTAAACTCTTATGCACTTACGAGGTTTGCTTGACTCAAATGTTATTGATCACAAACGACCAGACAACTCTTATTTTTACTTTATTATAATTTCCTTTGCTTTTCAGGAGTTCTAAAATTTGGTTCATAAACAAGCTGTAAAAGCTGCCCCCCCCCTTACCGCAGACCAGATCAACTGGTTTCAATCTCAGATGTGGATCCGCTCCAAGGGTTGGGTGGGGGTGCATGAGGCTAAACCATGGATGTGGGCGGAGATGCAGCTCACGACGAGGTGCACTGAAAGAATCGTTCACAACACAAATGTCGGGGGACAAGAAAAGGAAGAAAACAGCAATTTTATCTGATTTAATTCAGGCTCTGAATCAGCTGATGCGTCCCTCTTTGTATGACTAAAACAAAACTTCACGTCTCGGGGACGGAGCCTCAGCCAGTCACAATCATTCCTTTGACTTGTTTTCTTTAAATAGTACACCTAATTTATTCAAAGCCACAATCTGTCCAATAATCACTGAGATGAGCTGAAACGGCCTGAAGCACTCTGGACGTCCTGTAATTTGGACCGACGGCGTTTCAGTCCCAAGCGTACAATGTGAAGGCGACAGGTCGCCGTTCCCAAGTGTCCGAGGAGAAGTGGCGGGACACTGCTGTCTTCTGACGCACACGAAAACTCCTGCTTGTGACAGCATGTGTAGTGTACAATTGTGGATTTTCATTGTCTTGAGCATCCATCGTGTTTTCTTTGTTTTTAAAACGTATCAACGAAGAGGCGAAGAGTCAGAGGTCATAGGTTCATACGTAGATGCTCAGGCCGCTTGGCCACGAGGGGGTAGGCCTGCTGCTTCATATGGTTGATCCCGGCTGGCTGTCGGATAGGAAGAGGAGCAGAGGCCTCGGAGCTGCTCGTGATGTCCATCTGCTCCATGCTGGACATGTCCATGGCCTGCTCCTGAGGAGAGTGGAGGACACTCGGTCCAATGCCGGGCAGGAGGGGGCTGCGGGCCCAGCCAGGGCTGACAGGACAGGAAAAAAAAAATGAGCGGTGACAGGTTTGATTTCATGGCAGTTTATTATTTATTGACTCCATTGTTCATCAGTGCTATTGGAGACGTAATAAATCTATCTGATAAATCAGATGTTGCTAATAAATCACACAACCACTAGTGGCAGCAGCAGATTCTGAGCAGAGTTTCTACCCGTTTTGTTTCTTCTAATGCACCACAGCTCACTTCCTCCCATCCACTACAGTCCGGTCCACTCCTGCTTCCCTTCTGGAGGTTCTCCAGTCGGTTCAGTGTTTGTCAGGAGAGACGTGGAGGTGGAAGGGAAAGGTTCACTCAGATACAGATGTAGGGTTGGGCATCGAGCGGAACCGGGACAAATTGTTCATTTTTCCCGGAATCGTTTAAAGTTTTTCATTTCGATTCCTAGTATGCCCACCGGAAGAGGAATCCGCGGCCGACCTCCATGAAAATAAACTTGATCTGCAAATTGTGATCAATGTGTTTTGGAGCTGATCACACCAGCTGTCTGTGTGCAGCACCGAGTCCCCCCTCCCCCCACACGGCGCGCAGCAGCCAAATCTAAACAAGCGTGTCTGCCGAACTTTTACTCCGTAATGTAAACTTTAACTCCTGCAGCGTCGAGGAAACTTGGGTAACGCTTCCTTTTACAGTCCCCTAATTACTAAGCACTTACATGGTAATTACATAGTAAGTTAGTGTTATTCTTTC